AGGTGTATGGTGGAGGTCCCAGCCCCTTTCTATATTGGTTACAGTTCTTCTGAAATGTGTGGGTTAGGGATTGCTGCCTCTCTAGTTTGCTGTTATCACTAAGGTGAAATCAGGGACAGTTTAGGCTGGCCTCTCCCCTCTGAGCCAGTCAAACAGTGGGGGCCTTCACGACTTTAGTGTGTGCTGCACATATGAAACCAGTTTGAGACAATTCCTGGGGCAATTTTGCCCTGACCAGCAGCCCTGACCCAGCCCAAGCAGATCCCACCAATTCTCTCTGGGCCAGGAATGGCCAACTGACACTTCTGTGGTTCCTGGTCCAGGCCCATCCTGCCCAATTCCCATATGTCATCCAGCCAGTCACACACACACACCCCCCCCCCTGCAGGAGGACCAAATCCCAAGCACTCAGTGCAGGTTAATGCAGATCTCCATGCTAAATCTCTTCTCCACTGCAACAAGTCCTCCTGGTGAGAACCTTGGGCTCTCCAACTCCTGGCTTCAGCGTGACTGCAAGTCGTCTGACTCCAAGGTGCGTAACACAGCGGGACTGGCTCTGGTGAGAGCACATCTGGCTTCAACTTTCCATCCACATTTTTCTTTTTCCTTAGTTTCTTCCTGGGTCATGAGAATCCCTCTCCTTTCATCCAGTCTTCTCCATAGTGGTAAATTCTAGCATCTGAGCTGTTTCTCTCAAAGAAGCTCTTTACCTTGCTAACTATCAACACACCATCTTCTCAGGACCCAAACCACTACTTATTAAATACTCATATGATCTTGACCCAGATCTAGGCACTGGAGACAGTCTGGTAAATATAGCAAACAAATTATTTTGACTCTAATGAAACTTACATGTGAGGGACTCCAAAAACATTATGTAATTTAAATACTAGAGAACCCACTTGTTTACCATATTGATTTTCTTTGATTATTTTTAATATATTTTATTAGTGCCAATTAATTTTAAAAATATTGAGTTTCAATGTAGTGTTTTCATGCAGGCACACATAATATTTTTATCATATCTATCCAGTTACCCTCCTTTATGCCTCCTTATCTCTATCCTTTATTCCTTTCTTCTTGTCTAATAACAGTCTCCCTCTACTCCTACGTGCCTTTTAGATTCCACATACAGTAATAGAGGGAACACAGTGTACTTCTCTTTCTGCAACTGGCTTATTTCACTCAACATAATGCTCTCTAGTTCCATGCATTTTCTTGCAAATAACACAGTGTCACTCTCTTTAATTGCTGAATAATACTGCAACGTATGTTTTCAGCTCCTGCCAAACATTTGATGGCAATAATGGTGTGATTTGTGTGGGGGGGGGCACCAGAAATCAAACTCATGATCTTGCACTTGCCAGTCAGAGGTCTATGCTGCAGAGCTAAATCCTCGGCCCCTCGAGTTGTGTGATTTATTTCTGTATCCTCTATTCCATTAGCCTGTGTCCACTTTTAGGCCAGTACCATCCTGCTTTTGTTACTATTGTTTTGTTGTATAATTTGAAATTGGGCATTGTCATGCCTAGAGCCATGCTATTTCTGCTTAGGATACCTTTGCCTATTCTGAGGCTTTTTGTTTCCATGTGAATTTTAAGAATTTTGTATTCCTTGTTCTGTGGAGAATGTCTTTGGAATTTTTATGGGGATTATATTGAATGTATAAGTCACTTTTAGTAATATGGTCATTTTACCAATATCCGTGAATACGGGGAATTTTTCCATCTTCTTGTGTATTCTCATTTTTACTCAGAGTTCTGTAATTATTGTATAGATATTTATTTCCTTGGTTAGGTCGACTCTTAGTATTTTTCTTTTATTTTGGAAACTATTGTGAATGGAATTATTTTCCTGATTTCCTTCTCAACTAGTTCATTATTAGCATATAGAAAAGCTGTTGATTTTTAAAATGTTACATTTGTATCCTATGTTTTTCAAAAAGTAAAAATTATAATACTGATTATTTAACCTCCTATTAAAACAATCTTAAATGACAAATAGTAATTTTTAAATAATGTATCATAAATTAATGAACTATTATAAAACATCAGGCTATCAAAACGCTTAACAATACTATCCCTCTTTCTTCATTTAAAAAATTCCATTGGGGCTGAGATGCAGCTCGTTGCCTGCCTGGCAAGCACGAAGCCCTGAGTTCAATTCCTGGTACCAAAAAAAGAAAAAAAAAACCCAATAAATAAATAAATAAATAAATGGAAAGCATTCATTGAACTTCTATTATGTATTAGGAACAATTTATAGTATCTTGTATACAATAACTGATGAAATAAAGAAATCAGTACAGAGCAACTCTGAGATCTGGAATGATCACATGTTGAGAAGGACTCTAGAAGCATCCTTGAATGTGTAAAGTGCTGTCCCTGTATTAAGCTAGTGCACTTTTATGCAGGAACTATTCAAGTGGAATTCTTAAGCATCTTATTTATCTAGTTTCCAACCTAATAAATTAAAATCAGAAAACTGAAAAATTGGGTTTCAATCTAAAGTGATGGTAATAAAATACTAACAACAAATTTTTTAAAAAACCCAAATCAGACATATCTCATATTGCAAAGTACTAAACTGAATAGTTTATGTTTTTATTTTAAAGCAAATAAGACAAAACAAAACAGAACAAAGAAGATCAGAGAAAAAATGCAAATAACACAGGATTTCAAAACAAAACAACAGGAAATCAGCAGTGGCTACCATAATGTCTCTTGTTTTCTTCAAAATAGTTGTCCATACCTTCACACATAAGTTAATACAAAACAAAATAGTATAAAAGCAAACAAAACAAAAGAATGAGAGCCTTATGGGATTTCAAAACCAGACACTATGAAATCACTAATGGCTACCATAATGTCTCCTGTTTTCTTCAAAATAGCTGTCCATACCATCACACATATTGAAATCAGATTGATGTAAATTCAAAGAAAGAATTCTGTACTGTTGCCTCCATTTAAGAACTGTGGTTTCTACCACTACCTTTTTAAAAAGTTTCCACAAAATATCATTGTCAGAGAAAGCTTAGATCCTTCAAGAAGTAGACTTCATGTACTCAAAAACAAAGGTCAATACAGCTAGATCAGTCTGAGCAGAAAGGAGAAAAATAAGAGATGCTTTTGTAGAGACAGGCAGCGTACAAGCCATGTATCATCTGGTAAGTGAAGGTATTGTTTTATCTTGTCCTGAACATGATACAGAAGTTTTGAGAATACATAGAAAAACTAACTACCTCTCCAGAATGCAGGGCAAAAATCTTAAAATAAGCAAAAAGTTTTCTGAGAAGTCAAAATGTTGTCATAATAAGTGTTGCATATTAGTCTCCATGGATTCCATTTGAGCCCACTTACTATCAGATGGGGACATTTTAGAGCTCCTAAGTCAGCACTTGCTAAACTCAAGGAACATTAGAAGCCAAAAGCTAGAAATAAAAAAAAGGCTTGGTATATTCAGATTATCAAGTAAAGACCACCTGATAGAAGTAAGTAAATAAAATAAATAGATAAATCATTAATAGATACTATCCATTCTGCCTGATCCATTCTATATAATTCATTTGCATAAGAACTCAAAATATATAACTTTCTTGGGGCAGAGTAAATAAATACAAATACAGAGTTCCATTACCTTATGCCCCCAATAAGGTGGATATAGCAAATTTAAGCCCATAATAACAAAACAAAAATAATTATATAAATACATCGTAGATAGACTTTGGCTCAAAATCTCTACACTATATACAATGGTAATCAGGTGAGATATAAGAAAAGTAGACTAACAAATACTAGTTAATGTAAAAATGCAAAATCAATGACAACAAAAAAGGAAAGCAAACCCTATGAGAAAAATACTGATCCTGCAGAAGCAGGAACCTCAGTTTTGTAACAATCAAGCTTTAGCAAAGGTCCACAGAATGCTAGTGTTTATTTCAGTTTTCTCCTTTAATTTTAATAAGAATTCTTTTATTTCACAGGTAAATAAATATTCAGTAACTTTCCCAAATTTATTGAAATTAGGATTCAAAATTTTGTATAGGTCCAAAGCCTATAGTCTCTACTACACCCCTTCCTTGGCTGCTGTTAAGTAGCAAAAGAAAAGAAAACCTCACCAACAAATTACATGGTGCTACTGTAGCTGTGGAAGGCAGTAATTCCAGTAACTATCCATAAAATAAAATCATCAAAACTATAAATCAGTCAAAGCTTTTCACACATTAAGTAGGTCTCCCAAAATGCTGATGTGTACTCAGTCAGTTAGAGGTTGGGAAACCAAAGCCTACAGAATAACTGTGACTCTCAGCTGTTGAGCTGTCAAACTAAGAAAGGTTTGAAATTTGGTGTGGGGGGGTGGGATTACCAGAAGTTGAACTCAGGACCTAGCACTTGCCAGGCAGGCACTGTGTCATTGAGCTATATCCCCAACCCAAGGTTTTGAAATTTATTAAAAGGTTTTAACAAGAAAAACTCAATAAGGAATGTAAAGACCATATGTGAACCACAAAGCTTAAAATATTTTATTTTTGATCTTTTACACAAATGTTTATTGACCCGCAAACTAGGTAAGTTTACCTAAAGTAAAATTAACAAAGTTGTGAATTAAACAAGGTTTTTCATGTCTTTAATCCCAAATGTACTGTGTTTCTTTGACTGGCTACATTTTGTTTGTATTTACCTCCAAATTTTAAAATACCTACTATTGATTCTGGCCTGAGGTTTAAGATATATATTTTTTTTCACATAAATGGAGATAAGACAAACTCTGTACCAAATACCATATGAAATGATTAAAGAGCACTGATCCTAAACCATGCTTTGGTGGTAAGTGTATGGTTTAGTTATTTGTACAGTGGGAACCCACGGAAAGGGGAAGACAAGAGCCAGAAAATTTAGGGAAAAGTTATGGAAACTCATTGAAATCAAAGGGAGGACAACCTAATATAGACAACCACCTGAAACTAATCAGCGTCACTAAAAGAGGCCGTCTACCTCCACATGAGTTATGAATCAACTGTAGAAATCCTAAGTGATACAATTCATTTTCTTTCATTTTTACTAATTGTGCCCAGTGACTTCCACCAAACTAAAGCAATGGCCCAACTAATTCAGAAATCTGGATGGAGCTGGATTGATGTCATAATCATGGGTGATGACTGTGAATGGCTGGCTCTCCACACACTTGCAGTTCAGGCTGCAGCAAGTAATGTGTGTATAGCTTTCAAAGAGGTTCTCCCAGCCTTCCCCTTGGATAAATCCATCAAAGTCAGTGTCAATCAAACACTTGAAAAAATCATTGCTTGAAAATCACTTGAAAAAATCAGAACCACAGGTTAATGTCATTCTGGTATTTCTAAGGAAATTCCTTGTTTTCGATCTCTTCAATACAGCCATTGAAAGGAATATAAATAAGATGTGAATTGCCAGTGATAATTGGTCAACTGCTACCAAGATCATCGCCATTCCCAGTGTTAAAAGGATTAGCAAAGTTGTGGGATTTGCTTTTAGAAGAGTGAATATGTCCTCTTTCCATTTCTTTCTTCAAACTCTGCGTGTGTATCCCAATAATAATAAATTCCTCCATGAATATGCCATGCTTTCATCTGCCAGGGAACATATCAAAGACAGTGATCTGAGTCAATATATTTCCAACCATTCTCCTGAGATACTGACCTACGAAGTTCACCAGGCTATAGAAAGAAACTTATTCATGACTTCCTCTGGCATTACACGGAACCAGAGCTCAATCACAGTGTTCAGCTTGCTGTGGTTGCTCTTGCTTATGCTCTCTGGAATCTGTGCCATGCTCAAGGCTGTCAGAACCCCCATGCCTTTCAGCCATGGGAGGTACTAACTGCCTGGCGCAGGTAAGAGAATACCATTGCTTCCCTGGTAACTCCCTTGCTTTATTTTGAAAATATTTATATTCACTGCTTTTAACTGTGTTCCTTTTCTAAGTAGAAATGGTCAGTATTTGAGTAACCTGTGTTCATCACAGTCCTTTTTTCTTAAAGACGACAGTTATCCTTTATCTTCACCTCCTACTCTTGCTGACCAAAGTTTTGTACTTTTATTTCCCAAGAAGATTCTGTTTATAATTCTGTCTTCTTTAAATGTATGAATTTTTCAATGCCTTATATAAGTGATCTCTTTTAATATTTTTGGCCACAAGCACTAGATTCTTTTTGTTGCCTGCTAAGTATAGTAGAGTAGCCCTTTTCTGAAATACTTAAACTAGAAGTGTTTCAGACTTTCAACTTTTTCAGATTTGGAATACTTGTATCTATATAATGAGACTCTTGGGAATGGGATCCAAGTCTAAATGCAAAATTCATTTATGTTTGTATATACCTTGCTTATTGCCAAAAGTTAATTTTACACCGTGTTTCCAGTTCACCTGTGTTAGCATTATGAGGTTAGGTATGGAATTTCTCACTGTGTTGTCATGTGGGCACTCACTATGTTTCAGACTTTGAAGGATTTTGGATTTCAGATTTTGAATTACGAATGCCCCAGACTTATTATGATGAGGGACCTAAAGCTAAGAAGTATCATACATAGGTTTTGTCTGAATCTTTTGATGCTAGACCCTTTGCTTTTCACTGTATCACTAGTGGTTTATAATCCTGTCACCTCTAGTTAGACTCCAGTATCTCAAGTGTTCTGTCTGGGACTCTAGACATCATCAAGGAAACGTTAACCCTGTTATGATTTTGAAGGTTTAAATGAACTACCAATTGCGTATAAAACTGGTTCTGTCTTTTCTTTGATAACACAGGAAAGTTAAAGTTTAATGTGATTGTATTTGTTGAAAATTTTTGTTTTATATTTTAGGGTTTTTTGTAAGTATGTGTTTGTGATACGTAGTAATTTCATTCATCTTGGGGAATTGTCATGCATATATGTGATATCTTGATCAGTATTTTTTAATGCTCATGAACAAGCCACTAAAAATAAACTGCTTCTTTTAATGTGCACTGTACACATTAGAAAGAAATTTCTCAATGTGTATTTCAAAGTCAAACTTGTATATTTTAAAGTAGAATCATGTTATAAAAATACACACTTTACACTTCTAAGAGAAAAAAAATAACAGACTAAGACATAACTCTTCTGATCACATAAATATGTACTGGACAATTGCTTTTCACATTTGTGATTCTTTCTTATTCTTTTTTTTATTGATGTTGGGGATTGGACCCATAGCCTTGCACATGCTAGATTTGTGCTCTATCCACTGAGCCACCCCAAGCTCTGCAATTTGCGTTAACAACCCAAAAATATAAGGTCTGAGGTTCTCAGCTTACATTTGGGTGAATTTGGGTATTGTAGGCTGTTCATTTTTAAAATTTACTTTTGATCGATATATAATCATTGTACATATCTGTGAGGTATGTATTTTTTACTGTTAAAACTATTTTTTCATTGTAAATGCAAAGCCTAAAGTACAATAGAGTTAAAATAAATAGTCTTTTTAAATTTACAATCTGAAATTATTGATATACATAACGCTTTTTAATGTATGCTTGCAAGCATTTTCTTAATAGGATAAAACTGTAATGAGGTGTTGGTGAAAACTATATACTGTCTTATTTAGATCACCATTTTCCCCCACAGTCCAAGTTTAACATGATGTTTTCTAAAACATTTCAATCGTTTTGCCTAGTAAAAGCTATTCCAGAAAAACTTTTACTTTATTTAAAAAGTAGGCTACCATAATAAAACCCCTACATACAATTCCAGTAGTGAAAGAATGAGAAAGAGAAATAGAGACCAGTCACAGAGACTGACAGAACAAAAAGGAGAGGATACAAAGTCCCATACAAAAAAAGTATACAAATACCAGAGCTATTTATCTACTATAGATCTGGGAAAAAGCTGGGAAAGTGTTTTAACTCAGGAATACATTTCAAACATTTTGAGAAAAAGACTTGAGAAATTTTTCTAAAACATCTTATTTAAACACTAGAAGCCTGGGGTCATCCTGGGGTCATTCATGAGCATTTAAATAACTCATTTATCCAGAAGCAAACAAACAGACTATAAAGGAGGACTTGTGACTTGCTCCTTTGATCGTGATGGAAGTAAGCCTGTCGGAGGATGGCCAGATGCAACAGGACAAATACTGTGCGGAACTCTTCTCATAAGCAAATTTTCATAGATCCCAAATTTAAAAGCTCAGCAACATTTAAGATCTCTATCATGGATACATTCCATTTTATCAACTGGCAAATTCACTGACATCTAAAAGACACTTTCTGAGTGAGTTGAGATTCAAATAATTTTGAAAGGTTTAGTTTTCGCAGTGTGTAAATATAAAACAGACTTTGGCTCTCTGTTTGTTGGTATTGTGAGCAGTGTACACTTTTTAATGTTTGTCAGATGTATGTGAGGACACCACTTTCTCATTGTGACTAGTGATTCAGATCTTTTTTTCTTTTTACTTATAATGATATATAAGATAGTAAATGATGTATATGTGATGATATTTAACAAATAAGTGCTGGGCGTCTCAGTGATGTATATGCAATGATGTTTAATAAGTAAGTGCTAGATGTCTCAGTGCTCCAGGGATTGTGGTGAGTACTGAAGATATGGAAAAGGAAATGACTCCTTCCTTATAGAAGTCACTTGTCTATTGTAGAGTGCAAGTGAGTAATTATGGAGTTGGTTATGAAATGGGATGGTGCATGGTCACGTTTCACACAAACACAACGTGGCATAGGAGGGCATAACTGAACCAGTTTGTCCAATATTAGCAATCAGAGAACACTTTCCAAGAAACATGACATTTATGATGAATGTAATGGAAGCATAGGCAGACAGAAATACTTAGCAAAAGGTGGAAAATGGTGTCATGAGACTGAAGTCTCACATGGAAGCACTAAGCAAGAGACTGGTAGAGTTTGTGAAGGATGGATAGTAGTGATTCATCCATTAAGACATCTCAAACTTTGATGCACATTTAGATCACCTGGGAATCTTAGGCAGCTGCTAATTTTCTAATTGCATAATGGGACCAGAAAATCTGTATTTCTAACAATTTCCCATGTAATACTCTTATAGCAGAACTACCATTTTAATAGGAAGGCTATAAACTGAGTTTTAATATTTGGACATCAGAAAGCAAAAAGGAGCCAACTAAAGACATTTTTAGGCAAATATTGATGAGATCTACTTCCCCCTGGAGAAATCATCTTCCAGCTACAGTGTGAATTAAGCAGAGGAACACTAGATTGGCAAGAGTAAGACCGATGTGGTAATCCAAGAGCAGTATAAGAATGCTCTTTCTATAGGTGTGAGAGGAAAAATGGACAGACATACGCCAATATTTTTAAGAGGACGGGTGCAGAACAGTTAGGGACAAATTGGATAGAAAAGATAACAGAGACTAGAATAGTTGTTGCAAATGATTCCCAATGTGGGCAACCAGTGCTATTGTCTGACATGGAAACGTAGAGAAAAGGAAAAAGAAATATTAAGCATTCTGGAGATGTTGGAATTGAAAATTTTATGAGATTTGCATTCCTAACCATGTTAGTTGTACATTAATCTAGAAGTTAGGGGAGACATGAGAGTGATTTAACAGAGGTAACTGACTATTTAAATCACGATATTTTAAGTGTTCATGTAGCTCACTTTTCATCTAATGTTAAGGAAGGGCTCATGTTTTTTATACTCTGTCTTAAGAAAGAGCAGTGTTTCTGGTTATCACCTCTTATAGAAATGTAGAGAGCGAAGAGACTACCAAAATTTAGGTCTGTGCCATAGTCACTCACATTGTTAGCCTTAGTTCAGTGTGCTTTCTTCTACACCACAGAAAACTCCACAAAGAAAAAGACAAAGTCGAGACACAGGGCAAAGACGTAGGGCATGTCCTCTACTGTTCTCTAATTCAGTCTCATAGCTCTCTCCCCACAAATCAACTATAAAACTGGAGCAAATTAAAGAAGTTCGAGAAATAGAAAACAAGGTCAATCATAACACCTTACTTGGTGTGGCCTTCTGGCCTTTTGTCCCTTAAAAACAAAATATTACCAGGCAGATATGAGTTATACAGTAAAAACCAGTCTCTATATTTTGTGGTGTCAATTAATATTGAAGCTCAGAGTTTCCATGAAAAAAATAAGTCATTGATGGAAAAAAATTTGAGGAAATTAAGAACTGGAGTGTTAATGTTCAAATTTTACCCTAAATCACAGTAAATATTCTAGTGTATTTAATGAGTAAAGAATATACTGGTTTTTTTTTTTATGAGTGTACTGTTTTGGTTGCCTCTGTCCACTTTCCTGTAAGAATATGCATAAAATAGTGCAAGTCTGTTTTTACATTATACAATGTTTTCATTATTTATAAAACATACATGTGTCAGAACTTTACCTTATAAAATCAAATTAAGTGATGGAAAAATCATGTGAAAAATATAGTTGAAACAAATGTGGAAGAAACTCTATACCCTAAAGAACTAAGATTCGTAGTAATGGTTAAGGAAAGAATAGTATTATTTTTTTATTTCCTCCATTTTTAAATTTTAGGACATTCTAGAATACATGTTTTTGGTTAATTGCACAATGTTAGATCTAATATCCTGCTTCCTTTACATATTACTAATTAATTTGAATTCACTAAAGGAAGTAAGAAATCTGCAGAGACATGATAAAATTAAAACACAAACTAGAGATTTCACTAAAGTGCTATTTTGTCAGTGTCATGAGTATAACATCTAACATATTTGCCTTAAAATTTAACTTGATTTTCCTATATTCTGTTAGCAAAAATGAAACACTCAAAACGTTAATCTTTTAAGAATAGACTAGAATAATTCTATTCATATAAAATAATTTCTGGTTACTGTTTTGAGTTCAACAAAGTCACAGAGAACTCTAGACGTAGGTAATAAGTAAGCATAATGAGTGCATTTGGTGAGAGTTTTGTGTACCTGTGCTTACAATGCAAGTTGATGGTAAGTCACAGCTATAACCTAAGGGTCCTCCCTGCAGCTCAAGTTTGATGTGCCTGCCTTGTTAATAACATATTTCCTGTTCTAGCTCTATCATATATCCGTTCTCACCATACAAATTGGGTAACAAGAAATTTTTCACTATATTCTATTTCTCCCAAGTTAAAAAAATCATTTTACAAGCTAAATTAGAAACAGGAGATCTACTATGATGGTCCACACCTGTAATCCCAGGTCTCAGGAGGCTGAGGCAGGAGAATTATGGGTTTGCGGGCAGCCTGGGCTACGTAGTGAGAATTTTTCACATAACAAAACAAAACAAATGGATGGAAGAGGGGAAGAAGGGAGGAGGGAAAAAGAGTGGAAAGGATGAAGGAAGGGAAGGAGAGAAAGGGAGGGAGGAAGAGACGAGATAGAATTTTGAGGTCATCCATTGAAATAGACTTAAGAACCATTGGAGATAAGATAGTCACTGTAACCATCAAAATTGTACCACTAATAAAGAATGGAGCCACAATGAGCCAAGCATTTATGCACATGCTTGGGTTTTAATGTCCTAGGCTGGAGTAGCTGTAGAAACAGAATGGCAAAATTTTGGAGGCTAGAACCCAAGTGGAGCTCATTTGGAGTTCTCCAAGCCACTAGTACAGAATCTTATTTTTTCTCATTTGAACTGATCTCATTTTTCCTGACAAGGCAGTGTTCTGACTGAGATGATGGATACACTTAGAAAGTTTATGTTCAGTGCTTCTTTTCCTTTTCATTTTGTACAGTTACTTGATGTGCTGAAAAATCTGAGACTTGTGGATGGAGGAAATTCTTTATGTTGACACCCACGGGGACCTGAACACTGTACAGATGCTGTGCTGTGGAAGGAAACCAATGGCCAGATGACCATCACCAAGGTGGCAGAATATGACCTGCAAGATGATGTCTTTATCCTCACAAGAAACAAAAAAGGAATTCAGGAAATGTAAGCTAATTTTCCTGCACACTACACTGTACCACTTGAGCCAACTAGTACCTTACCTGCAGAAGTCCTTAAACCTGCGAGGACCTCTGCAATCCCCTGCTGTGGCTTGAGTCTAGATATCCACCCAAAGCTTCACATGGTCATAGTTGGAGTTTTTTTCAAACGTGGTTGGATCTAGAGTATGTGATGCTGGAATTGATTCATGGTACAATGCTAGTTTCAAGGGCACTAGCATTAAGGGTACCACCTGCCCTGAGTATTCTGGGTAATATAAAAGCCAGAGAGAAATCTGTGGTAATCCCTTTTTGCTTTCCTACCTTCTGCCATGCCATGGACTGTTTCTCCTCTGTGATGCCCCTCTGCCATACCATCCTGCCCTAGAACCAGCCAATCATGGACTGAAACCTCTGTGGACTATAAGCTAGATAAACCTTTCCTCCTCTAACTTTGGGTATTGGTATTTTGTCTCAACAATGAGAAACTGTCCTAAAACATCCCCCTACTTGCTCAATGTCTCACCTTCCTCCAAATTCCATGACTAACTAGTATAACACTCTCCTGGACACCGGGTCAATTTCCTTGCACCCTTTTTAAAATTTTTTTATTTTAAAGATATTAAGACAAAGCACATCAGAACAGAACAATGTAAGTAACATGGTATTTCACCACAAGAAAATCCATAATTAATAGTAACTACCATAATGTCTCTTTGTTTGAAATAGTTGAGCATAATTTCATATACAATAGTATCAAACATAAAAAATAGAATAAAATCATTTAAGAGAATGAAGGTATTACAGGGCATTCAGAACCAAATAACAGAAAAAGAACAAAGGCTACTATATTATCTCATTTTCCATGGAAATTTTGTTTATACTTTCACATATAATGAAATCCAATAAGATACAACACGATAGAACCAATGGAAACAGAAAAACAAAAGAATGGTAGGACTTCAGAGCAAGATGATATTAAATCAGCACTACTGGCTATTATATAATGTCTTGTTTTCTTCAAAATACCATCACAGATAATAAAATCAAACAAACCAGGATAAAACCATTCCAACTAATGAATGGAACCATTATAAGGCTTCAAAGCAATGTAATGGGGAATGATGATTACAATAAACTTTTAAGTACTCTTACAATTTCTCTTTATTTTTCTTTTTTTGGTCTTTTTCCTTTTTATCAGTACCGGGGATTGAACTCATGACTACCTGCTTGCAAGGCAGGTGCTTATGCCGCTGAGCTAAATCTCCAGCCCCAGTACTCTTACAATTTCTTGCACTAAGGAGACTATATGGTATTTATACATATGAGTTTGATTTATTTCACTTATGAGTATGGTTTCAAGCTGTACCCATTTATTTATAAATATGATCGTTTATAAATGTGATCATTCCTTAGAGCTGAGTAGTAGTTCATTGTATAAAAATACCACAACTTTTTTTACCATTCTTCAATTGTTGGACACTTAGGTTGTTTCTAAGATCTGGCTATCACAAATTATGCAGCTATAAACATGGGTGCACATATATCACCTTGTTATGATGTTTACAGTTCTTCTGGGAATATGCCTAGAAGCAGAATAGCTAGGTCGAATGGGACTTCCAATCCGAGCATTTTGAGGAATCTCCAGACTGACCTCCACAGTGGTTGCACCAGTCTACACTCCCACCAACAGTGCAGGAGAGTTCCTTTTCCCCCACAGCCTCTCCAGCATTTGTTGTTGGTAGTTTTCTTGATGCTGGCCATTCTTTCTGGAGTGAGATAGAATCTCAGTGTTGTTTTAATTTGCAATTCTCTAATGAGTAATGATGATGAACACTTTTTCATGTATTTATTTGTCATTTGTATCTCTTCATCTGAGAACTGTGTATTCATCTCAGATGCACATTTTTGGATTGGATCTTTGAATTTCAGGGGTCTGTTTTTTTTTTTAATTCTTTGTATGTTTTAGACAGAAGTCCTTTGCTTCAGGGACAGTTCACTAATATTTTTTCAGTTTGTGGGTTTTCTTTCCACTATGCTGGAGATTTCTTTTGACATGCAGAAACTTTTTAATAAGAGGTGATCCCAGTTATTGATTCTGGGAAGTATTTCCCATGTGATTTGAGTCCTGTTCATGAATTCTCTACCTACCCTTATGCCTTCAAAATTTTTACCTACTTTGTCTTCCAACAGATTTAGTGTTTCTGTTTTAATATTCAGATCTTTGATCCATTTAGATTTGATTTAGTACATGATAATAGACATGGGTCTAATTTTAGTTTTTGGCATATGGAGATCCAGTTTCCAACACCATTTATTAAAAGAGACTGTTGTTTTTCCAGGGAATAAGTTTGGGCCCTTTATCAAAGGTAAAGTGGTTGAGTGTGTTTGTAGTTGTGGTTGTAGCTTCTCATCTATTCCACTGATCTTCAGCTCTGTTTTTATTCCAGTACCATGTTGATTTTACTAGTTGATTTATAATATAACTTCAAGTCAGGGTTTGTGATGCCTCCTGCCTTGCCTTTGCTGCTTACAACTGCCTTTACTATTCTAGGTCTCTTCTGGTTCCAGATGAATTTTAGGAGTAATTTCTCTAGATTTATGAGGTATGTTGATGGTATTTTCATTGGGATTCCATTGAATCTGTATAACAGTTTTGGGAGAATAGCCATTTTCACCATATATAGCCTTTCTATCCATGAACAAGTGATGTCTTTCCATTGTCTGAGATCCTCTTAGATTTCTTTTTATAGAACATTATGATTTTCCCTGTATAGATCTTTCACTTCTTTTGTGAGATTAATCCCTAAGTATTTCATTTTTTTTTTTTTGGATGCTAGTGTGAAGGGTGTGCCTTCTCTTATTTCTCTCTCAAGTCATTTTGTTGTTAGTGTATAGGAATGTTATTGATTTTGAGTATTGATTTTGTATCCAGATACACTGCTTCATTTATTTATTATATCTAGGAATCTGTCAATGGAGTTTTGGGGGTCTTCTATGTAGAGTATCATGTCATCCACAAATAATGATAATTTAACTTTCTCTTTTCCTATCTTTACCCCTTTTATTTCTCTCTCTTCTCTAATTACTCTGGCTAGTTTTTCCAGTACCATGTTGAATAGGAGCGGTGACAAGGGACATCCTTGTCTTGTGCCTGATTTTAACATAAAGGCCTTCAGTTTAGGGCCATTTAATATGATGCTGGCTGTTGGTTTGTCATAGATGGCATTTATCATATTGTGGTAAAGTCCATCTATTGCAATTTCCTGTAAGGTTCTTATCATGAATGAGTGTTGGACCTTATCAAAAGCTTTTTCTGCATCTACAGAAATGATTATGTAATTCTTACTTTTGGCTTTATTGAGATGGTGGATTACAATTATTGATTTACGTATGTTGAACCATCCCTGCATGCCTGGGATAAATCCCACTTGATCATGGTGTATAATCTTGTTGATGATTTGCTGCATCCTGTTTGCCAATATTTTATTCATGATTTTTGCATTTGTGTTCATTAGGGAGATTGGCCTGTTGTTCTTTTTTTAGTTGGGTTTTTCTTAGGTTTTGGTACTAGAGTAACATTTGCTTCCAGGAATGACTTAGGAAAGATTGCTACCCTTTTGTTTTCATTGAAGAGTTTGAGGAGTGTCAGCATTAAGTCTTCTTTTTATTTCTTTTAGAATTCCACAGTGAATCTATCAGGGCCTGGGCTCTTTGTAAATAAGGACTTAATTACATTTTCAACTTCATTAATAGAAATTGGGTTATTCAGCAGTTTTACATCTTCTTGACCTAGCTTTGGTACTTCATATGTTTCTAGGAATCTATCCATTTCTTCTGTGTTATCAAACCTATGAGAGTAGAGGTTTTTGAAATAGATGTTGATGACCTTCTGTATTTTCACAGAGTCTGTAGGGATTTCACCTCTTCATTCCTTATTGTATGAATTTGAACTTTTCCTCCCTTTTTAAATAAGGTTTGCCAAGGGCTTATCAATTTTATTTATTCTTTCAAAGAACCAATTCTTTGATTCATTAATTCTTTGGATTGTTTCCTTATTTGCATTAATTTCTCTATTGCATTATTTCTGCTCTGATTTTTATAATTTCCTCCCTTCTTTTGGCTTTGGGCTTGATTTGCTCTTCTTTTCTAGATGTTTAATGTATAGCATCAGGTTATTTATTTGTATTTGTTCTGTTTTCCTAATGTGGGAACTCAGTGCAATATATTTTCCTCTGAGGATAGCTTTCATTGCATCCCACAGATTCTGGTAAGTTGGGTTTGTATTTTCATTTTCTTTTAGGTATTGCTTAATTTCTTCTTTAATTTCCCCTGTGACCCATTGATTGCTCAAGAGTGTATTACTCAATTTCCATGTGTTTGTGGGTTTTTGCAGTTTCTTTTATCATTAATTTCTAATTTCATGGTGCTATAATCTGATAACATGCATGGGATAGTTTCAATTCTTTTGCATTTATTTAAATATGTTCTTTGGGCTAGTATATGATCTATTTTAGAGGATGTCCCATGTACTGATGAGAAGAATGTACATTCTGATGTTGTTGGATGGAACACTCTGTATATGTCTATCAAGTCCATTTGTTCACATGTGTGATTCAATTCTTTATTTGTTTGCTGATTTTCTGTCTGGTTGATCTGTCCCTTGGTGTCAATGGTGTGTTAAGGTCTCCTGTTATAATTGTGTTGTTGCTTATTTTATTTTTCATTTCTGTTAATATTTGCTTTGTATAGCTGGGTTCTTTAGAGCTTGGTGCATATATATTTAAGATTGTTATCTCTTCCTCTTGAAGTTTTCCCCTAACTAGTATGTAGTGACTTTCCTTATCTCTTAGGATCATTCTTGGTTTGCAGTTCACATTGTCTGCAAACAGAATAGCTATCACTGCTTTTTCGGGCATTCCTGTTGCATGAACTATTGTTTTCCATCCTTTGACTTTCAGTCTGTGAGTTTCCTTTTGGATTAGATGGGTTTCTTTTAGACAGCATATGGTTGGATGTTGTTTCTTGTTTCATTCTGCCAGTCTGTTTTTTTTTAATTGGTGAGTCGAGACCATTTACATTAATGGTTATGACTGTTATATATTGGTTTATTGTCGACATGTTATCTTTCTACTGTTGCATCTTTATCTCCCCATTCTGTTTGTCTGCCTTGCTTATTGGCTTTTTCCTATGTTTATCTAGACTGTCTTTCAATATTCTTTGCAGGGTTGGTTTGGTGATCACGAAGTTTTTCAGCTCTTCTTTGTCTGAAAGTATCTTATTTCTCCATCCATTTTGAAGGACAGTTTTGCAGGGTGCATCAGTCTTGGTTGGAAATCATTTTCCTTTAGGATCTGAAATACTACACTCCATGCTCTTCTTGAGTTCATTGTTTGTATTGAGAAGTCTGCTGTGATTCTGATATGTTTTCCTTTATAGGTGATCTGTGTTTTGTCTCTAAAAGTTTTAATGTTCTATTCTTATGTTGCATTTCTGGGATGGTGATTATTATATGTCTGTATGTAGTTTTATTTTGGTTATGGCTATTTGGAGTTCTATATGCTTCACTAATCTGTATGTCAGTTTTCATTCTCATATTTGGGAAATTTTCAGCTGTTACTTCTGTAAATAGCTTCCTGATATCATTTGTGTTGTCACTTCTTTTTCATTTATCCCTATCAATCTTATGTTTTTCTTTGCATCATCTTGCAGCTGTTGAATTATTTTCTGATTCCTTGTTATTTTTAAAAGATCTTCCTTTTCCTGTTCACTAGCTGCAATCTTGTCTTCAAGGTTTGAAATTCTATCTTCACTTTTGTTGAAACAGTTTTGACAACTTTCAATGGAATTTTTGGTTTCCTGTATATTCAGCTTCATGTATCCTGTTTGTTTCTTATATTCTTCATCCAGGGATTCTATCTTTTTGTTTTTCTCCTCTAATTTTTTAACTGTGTCTTCTTGAGATGTGTTCAGCATCTCTTTCATTATTTTTATCATTTCTTCTTTTACCTTCTAACTTGAATTCCTTTAAAGCTTCCCAGAGTTGCTTCTTTATTTCAGTTGCTATTATTTCAGGTATTTCAGGTATATGGCATATATTTTCTTCTACATACATGGCTCCTAGGATTTCCTGGGGTGAGCTGGAGGTTTGAGATTGCATTTTGGTCTTTTATTTTGTCATTTTCCTATATCTCCATGTTTCAAGTGATGTTCCAAAGCTTCCCTTGGGCGTGTTGGAAATCATCTCCTATTATTTTAGCTCCTGAGACTCTGGCTTCCCAGGATTGAAATAAGGTCACTGGGCATTACCCAGGCAGGCCCAAAACTGCAGAGCCCAGTCTAGTGTGGCTGGAAGTTGGACTGGTCCTTAGCCACTAGGACTAATAGTCTTAAACTCTCCACAGGCTCCTGCCGCTGGTTTGCAGGAACTCACCAGTGGCAGCCCAGTTCCTCAGATTCCCCTTTCTTCATCATTACCATGTGACAAAAAACATAATTTTGATTAAATTAAATTTTGTGTAAGTATGGACCCAATGTAACTGAACTTGGCAGAAAAAATAAGGCAAAAAGGAAAAGACAAGAAAAAAATGCTGCTCATCAGCCTGACCTTAAATTCAAGATCACTGGCTTTCAGTGACCTGTAGTGCTGTGGACAGACCACTGCCCAATTCCCTGACCTGTTGACCATACTGGACAGCTGCTTATCCTCTTCTATATGCCTCTCACTTCAGTATACCTCAAACACTCTCTATCCTGTTGATCCTGCTTTCTTTTCTACCAACCAGAATATAACAGTTGGGACAGAATGCAGTGCCCACCACAGCACCCTGTGCTCCTGGCCACAGTCAGCACCTCCTCTTGACTACTGGGGTCCTGACTCCCTTTCCTCAAGGTCTGATGCTGACAATTTTACCTATCCCATGTCCTCAACTTTCCTCTCTTCTGCATTAGCTGCACAATGTCTTAGGTATGCTGGAGGCTTCCCCTTCTTATCTTAAAAAGCAACAGAAGCTCACTGAATATTCTTCTATGAGCTGCCTATACTTCTACTTCTCCTTACAGCAACACTCACTGTGTAAATTGAACACAAAGATTTACCCCAGTCTTTCTCCTCCTGCACTCCTCAAAGCTGTCTAGAATACATCAAAACTGTTTCTATGTAGTTTACTCACATTAATGAATCCAACATTGTCCTACTGTATAAGCCAGCAAGCTTGTCCTCCATGAGACACTCTGCTTGCTTGTTTCCACTTCACCTCAGTCCCTGGCCTCCTTCCTTCTATTTGTAACCTTCACCTGCTCCTTTGCTCCTGCTACCTCTACACATCAGCAACTCAGAGCTGCTCATCTTTTTTTTCCTTGTTTGTCTATCTTTTTCCTTGATTATTCTATCATGATGTTAGATAGCATCATTATACAGAAGACTATTGATGATACAGAATGTCATTATATAGAAGGTCAGTGATATCTACATTTTTATTTTGTCCTCCAACCCTAATAAATGCACAATTGCTTAACTGACATCTCTGTCTAAACATGCAATAATCAATTTAGTTTAATTTCCCCTAAGGAGCTCTTGATATTCCCTTTGAAAGCTACTCTTGCACAGTAAGTGGCAATTCCTTTTCTTAGCTCTTCATGAAGTAAAATCTGTTTAGTTTCTTGCCACATCTCTCTGTACCACTCCATTGCCAATGAAAATTTGGCTTTCAAAATGTGTCTAGAAAAGCCAGGTGTGGTGGTATGCCTGTAATCCCAGGGGCTGGCATATTGAGGCAGGAAGTCACCCTGAGTTGGAAGCTAACTGCACTACATAGTGAGATCAAAGCCAGCCTGATCTACATAATGAAACCGTGTCTCAAAAACCAAAACCAATTGAACAAAAACAAGCACTATATCTGAAATCTGACCACTGTTTACACCTGTTCAAGTGCTGTTCAGGTGATTGCAGTGATGTTGCCATCCTTCCATCTTTGCCACACCCAGACAGTTAGCCAGAGGTCCCTGCTGGACTCAGTGGTCTGCACAGTCTTATCCACACAGCAAACCTTTCTTCAGAGACCCTGTGTAACCTGAACAACACCTTCTGGCTTCATCTCCTCAGCCCTAGCCCACCACCTGCATTATCTGCTTCTCTTTCTTTGTACTCGCCATTTCTTTTGTCTGTAATAATTTTTGTTGATGTCTGTGAGGTTAATTTCTCATTTTTTTCTTTATTTCTTGAAATGTCATCTTCCCAGGGAGGCTTTTCTTAGACACCCTATTTAAAATTGCATGACTGAGTGTGTCTGTCTGAGGTAGCCCTTGTTTATCTGTGAGGGTCTTGGGTCCATCCCCAGCAGGGGGACAGAGAGGGAGAGGAAAGAAGAGCAATGCCAACCTCATGCTCCTGGTCACTGTCTCATCTTCGTTTTACTTATTTTTGTTTTCTTTGTTGTCAACCTTATCAGCTAGAAATGTGATTTCTGTTTCATTTCCTGCCAAGGCTCCCACAATTAAAACTGCGCTTGGCATAAAATAGGCACCCAGCACATATTTGGTGGATGAGAGAATGGTTAGTGTGATGCTGTAAACCATTTTGTTTGATAGTATCTCCCTTGTCAGAAGTCCCAGTGAAGCAAGATGTTTTTTCTTTAGGAAGCAGAAACAGGGCCACACATCTGTGTCCTCAGCTAGATATCCTCATCATCATTGTTCTTGTTCACAAAACTACTACGTAAGGAACCCAGCCCCTGCTAAGCACTTTAGCTCACACTGGACCTGTGAAACATTCTAACTCACTTCTTTAATGCAGAGAGGATTCTGTCTTATTTTTTCAAGAAGCACCATTTTTAATTGTTAACTTGTAACCAAATTGAATCGCCAGATTGTTGGAGACACACTTCAAGAGAGCAAGAGAGGGCACAGGGCTAGGACTTCTGTGGCTACCTGGAGAGGGCAGACGTAAAGGAGAGGCAAGTCTTCCTTTCTGATGGAAACAACTACCAATATTTCAAGAATATAATAAAAATGGATAATGTCTGAGAACACATGAATATATTTTAAGATCTACTTGCCAATTGACAAGTTAGTCAGGGCAGCCACATTCCTGATGTCATCAAAATTCCTGGTCCAAACATCAGATAGCCCTCGACTCCCACTATCTACACCCAAGTCCTGGCAGAGAGAGAAAGGGCTGAGCTGTGGGAAGAAAGATTGAGCTTCTGTCTCCCTTAACATCTGGCTACATCTGATAGTTAAATCCTTTTCTGTCTTCTGAGTGCACTCCAGGAGAACAAATACCTCAGATTCAGAGTTTACCTGGGTTGACCTCAAGGCAATCCACTTCCAGCAAAAAGCCAGGTCAGGTGAGTTGATGGCCCCAAAACTTGACTGTTTCTCCCTCCCAGGTCTTGTCTTCTAGAGAAAACAGTGGTTGACCTAATACTTTGTGTTCCAGACTCAAAAACAGCTGTTCAGAGAATCCTGAGAAAGACCCAGCTAACCACTGTTTTGACTTCCTCATGGTAAAAATGAAACCATAACACAGATTAATTCACAGGATGTACTGTGACAAAGGGACCTTGAGTGGAGAAGAATGACACAGTGTAACTTTGTAAAAGAATTATTAGCTGAATCAGAAATATAGAATCCCTCAGAAATAGAATGCTGCCTGTGACCTGCATCATGATATATAGAACTGTGACTTAAATTCTCAATAGTTTAGGTTGTCTTTTTAACTAGCAATAATAGCTTTTTAGTTTTGTTTGTTTTGTGTTTTTGTGGTACTGGGTATTAAGCTACATCCCTAGTCCTTTTTTATTTGGAGAAAGGATCTCATTAAGTTGCTCTGGCTGGGCTTAAACTACCCTACTTCAGCCTTGTAAAGTGCTGAGATTATAAACTCAAAATATTCCAGTTTTTCTTTGTTTTTTAGAGGCTGGATAGACTTTTTATATCATACAATAATCTTCCAAAGAATGTAAGTGTATAATTTACCATTTTCTTATTTGACAAAACCCTATTCAGCACAGGACTGGAAATTTCCAAATTCTTATTCCTTTTACTACTGTACATTTCGTTTTTCCTAAGAACAGCCTGAAGGAAATAATGATCATCATTTCATACAGATGTTATTGATGTGACAGCTACATACTTTCTTGAATATTTCTCCATCTGAAGCATTTTATATATTTTAAGCTTACTCATGTCTCAGGAGAACAAAAAATCTTTTAATAGTATTGAAAGTGACCAAAATGCTATTTAGTAAATACATCATTAAATGAAAGATAATTGGGATTTTTTTAAAAAAGTCCTTTGGGCATTTCTTTTCACTTCCAATGCAGCATATTCTATCTAAATGCTCCAAGAAATGCAGCCCAAGACAAATGAAGAAGACCACAAGAAGCCAGCACACCTGCTGCTATGACCATGTGAGGTGCTCCAAAAGCCACCACAGCAATCAGATAGATAATTTTAGGCATTTCAGCATGCATGGGAGTTGTTCCCTTGGGCTGATTTTCCTTTTCATGAATCCCATTTTAATTTATTTTTATCTATAATGAATTTTACAAGCTTTCTGTGTTCTGCTAGGTAAAATGGCTATGAAATTTCATTTTATTTTGGAATTTCCTTTATCACTTGGTGTATGACCAACAACTAATATAAATATGAAAGGAATTTCACTCCCAGTGAAAAAGTCATTGCTTTGTGAATACCTCATTACCAGCAACTCTGAAAACAATGCATGTTTTCTACCAGTTTTTGTCCATATGCCCATCCCTTGTAATTGGGCTCAAGAAGTACAAATAAGTAAATGCTCGATTAGCTAAATCAACATACTAGAAACTAAGAGGCTCGCAATCAAGAAACAAGTGTGCATATACTGGAGATCTTAATGTCCCTACCAAGAGACAAAGGTCACATCTGTGAAGAAAGGAACTTCTGTAAGACAAATGAACCCAGTATTAGCAGAGATGAGGTGCTAGTAACCAAGTGTTTGCCCATCTTATCTTTATCAGTTTGGTAAGATCAGAGGAAAGTATACAAATTAAAGTAAATGGCAGAGGTCAGCACCCTGGAAGCTCTAAGAACTACTGGCACACTCTCTGGAGCAAAACCCACTTGAAAGCATCATGTTTCTTCATTTATTGCCATGTTCTTGTTCATCATCTGTGAAAACTAAGAATTGCAGGATGTTCCCAAATATATATTCTTTCTTCTCACTGGCTTCAGGGGAAGAAGTATGGCAATGGAAATATTCCAATGTTCTTGTTTTGTCCGAGCCTTTAAGATGCCACTTATTCTATAACTGGGTAGAAATTTTTCAGGCAATACAGTACCCAGCAGCTATCCTCCAAATAGAAAAGTAGACACATTAACTTTCCATAAGTTACTGAAGCCTTTCTAAGTCCAATCTGGGTTCCATCTTTGAATAATCAGGATGACTGTAAACAACTGAGGACACTGGATGAAAAGCCAAAAGTGAGTGTACCCTAAAAGCCTACCCTCTCTTCTTCTCCACATCTCCCACACATGCTGTCCACAGGACCAGACCATCCATGTCTACTGAGTGAATGAGGGCAGACAGTCACAGCCAGGGGTAAAAAGAAAACAGAGTAGGGAAATAGATACTAAAAAGAGAAGGAAGTTGGAAACATCTCACTTTGATGTTAACACAGATGAGAATACAAAACATTTTAAAATGTTAAATGAGCACTTTTGACCTTTGCTGCATTATATAATCAGATGATGTTCTGAGAGATGTCCTGTCAGAAGCACCAGGATCCATCATCTTAAAAGGGGCAGGAGAGGAAGCAAAGGCACCTTACTCCCAGAAAACCTATGCTTTCCTGCAGATGGGATTCGCATTAACACTGCTTGGGTTTATCAAAAAGGATCAAGTATGTTAACCTCCTGGGGAAAAAATAAATTTTAATTCTTCCTCAGCTGTCACAATGTTATTGTCTTGTGTTCTCTCTTTCTTTTTCTTCTCTTTTTTAAAGAAAAATAAAAGCAGTGGTACAAAATTTCAAAACACATTGTAGGAGGGTAATGATGATTAGTACATGGTGAATTGTTATCTTTAAAGCAGTTGCTCATATGACAAGACATAGGCATAAAAAATGATCAAACAATATAGGCACAAACTTCTCTTTTCAGAGAACTAATAAGAACTAATTGGAAAAGTTCACTTAGGAACTATCTTAACAGCCGAGATAGAGATGCGAAAGCTCTGAGAGTGGGAATCGGTGAACCAAATTGAGAGCAGAGCTGGCAGGGAGCCCTGCATTGACCTGCGGTGAGTGAGAGGAACAGGGAGCTTCCATAGATAAGGAGGCTCCAACAGAGGACATTCTGGGACTGGGAAGACTGGCTTGAACAGGGTGCTGTGGGATTGGTGGGGAGCACTTGACCTGGGTGGTTCCATGGACTGAGGCCCAATAAGCTTGCCCAAACCAGGTCCCTGCCCCTGGCAGTGCACCCTAAGGCAGTGAAGCCTTCAGTAGGTTGGCCTGGAGGGGCGGGCCTATCATAGGCTGCATGGGTCTGTACCTCCTAGTACACTGCAATGGGTGGGACCACTTAGCACACCTCAGACAAACTGAAACTAACAAAGAAAGAAACTGGGCCTCCTATATATGCTTGTATGGAAAGAACAAAAAATATGAGAAGAGGAGGCAACAAGAAAGGGTCCTCAGTTCACAATCCTGAGAACACTGATCCAGGAAAGGTAAATGCAAAGAAGAATGAGGACAGAAAACATGCAATGTCAGGCATGGCACCAATAGACATAAAGTGATGTCTTCAGGACCTCATAGACGAGTTCAAAAGTACAGTATTTAACCAAGTAAAGCAAGATATAAGTAGAATAGTTAAAGAAATGCTAAGCACTTCCCAAGAAAAAACAGATGGAGGAATGGAAGAACAGAAAAAAAGGGGAAAATTGTTTGATTGAGAAAATAGAGAAAATGTGGAATACATGAAGCAGGTTCAAAGAGATTGCCAGGAAACTAAAAGCTCTATTGAAAGCTGGCATACCAGCTTGAAAGAAACTAAGGATAGATCATCTGAACTGCAATGTGGGAGCATGAAAAGAAAAGTTTCTTAAAATAACAAGGAAACAAGCAGTAACAATACAAAGGCTAGAAGATGACAAAAGGATCTATAACTTAAGAATAAAGAATGTGAATGAAGAAGCAGGGGTACAACAAAGGAACAGCAAAGGCTATTCACAGAAATAGTGAGGGAAAACTTCCCAAATATAGGAAAAGGAAAAGATACTCAGATGTATGAGGCATACAGAACTCCAGCCACCTACAATCAAACAGAACTACACCCAGGCATATAATAATCAAGATTCCAGAAATCCAATATAAGAACAGAATATTAAAAGCTGTCAGAGACAAGAACCAGATCACTTACAAGGGAAAACCCATTAGAATTACGGCAGACTTCTTGGTGCAAACCATCAAATTGAGAGGAGTGTGGGGTGAAATAATCCAAGCCTTGAAAGACAATAACCTCCAGCCCAGATTGATATATCCTGCACAATTGTCCCTAGAAATTAATGGAGAAATAAGGTGCTTCAAAGATAGAGGAACCGGGGGAATTTGCAACCACGAATCCAGCTCTACAGAGAATACTGCAGGACATCCTAAAGCGAGAGGGAAGTATCAGCATACCAGAAACAATGGCAGAGAGGCCACAATGAAGGGAGAAGAAAGCGAAATGAAGAAGACAAACAGACAACTAATGACAGAAAAAGAGCACAACAGGAATGAGGCAGAGAAGATTGGATATAATTTCTAATATAGATGGCCTAGATACACTAACTTAAGGGAAAAAAGAGAGAATCACAGGCAGAGTGGATCAAGAGGTAGGGTCCACCGAGAGACTCTTTATAGGAAATATAATTAGCCTGAAGAAGGTTGTATAGACCAAAATCAAATGTGAGAAAATTGAACTTGAAGTGATAGGGAACCAGAGAGTAATAGGGGTAACTGGGCCAGTGTTTATGGATAGGTTGAACAAACAGGCTTTAATAAATGAAGAAATATAACTAGAAATCCAGCCCAGAAGTGAGAAAGTTCAGAAATACTTAGGTAAATAGAAGGTTGCCCCCTCAATAGAAAACCATGAGTGATGGGGAGACCCAAAAATATGCAGTTCATTCTGGGGGAGTAAAGGGAAGGAATAGTCTTTGAAAAAAAAGAGCAGAAGATATAGCTAATAGTGTATCAGGAATTAAAACCCTCATTACTCGCACCACTCTGCTTGGTTGGAACTTGTTCCATCCTAGTTTGTATACAAGTACTGGATCTGAGGGCACAGACAGCTGTCCCGAAGATATCAGGACATAGCACAGTGGTCATCTTTAATTTCCTATTAACTTAATCAAGATCCCTGTATGACTTATACTATTGTATCATGACTGATCTTAGTTAAATCTGACTTGTTTGAATACTGCTTATTATTGACAGATTTTATTCAAAACTGTTAGGTTGCTGGTATCAAGTTGAGGAGTATAGACAACTATACTGAAAATGACAATGATTCACCATGATATCCATTCTGATTTGATTACTACCTGTTTTTGTAGCTCTACACTATCTACAAAGTTGTATTTCTGTTAATTCTGCTATGTACTGATACATTAAATTATACTTTATCTGATGATATAGCCAATTCAGTTGATGATAACAAGAAACAGCACAGTAACCATGGTAGAACTCCTTATACAGCAGTTTTGTTTGTTTGTTTTTGTCTTTTTTGAGACAGGGTCTCCCTATGCAGTTCAGGCTGGCCTTGCGCTCACTTTGTAGCCCAGGCTGGTCTCGAAGTTGAAGCAATCCTCCCATCTCAGCCTCCCAAGTGCTGGGATTACAGGCGTGAGCCACCACGCCCAGCCTATACAGCAGTTTTATATGCCTTTTTAGTTTTATGTGTCTATAGGAATATGTTTAGTTCTGTCCTTCTTTGTTGTGTTTCTCCCTCTAATATAGAAAGGATAGAAATACATTTAAGACTCATGCTTGAATAAAACCTATAAACAGTTTATGAGAACTGATATTACGACACATGATGAAATGAACAAATATTTTGAAGGAAAGAAAGGGCACTGCAGTACCCAGTGCTGATTCCGGAGTGTTATGATGTGAGACCCAGCAATATTATTAATCTTTGTTCAGAAGGATTTTAATCTAATAAGTTTAGTTAGGTCTCAACATAAGTGAAGATATGGATAAATGTGTACATGTCTAAGTGTATAGTATTGATACTCATATTACTTAGTTTTTGTTCGATAGTTGAACAGAATGGTTTGCAGTCTCCCTGGTTGAATTCCCATTTATATGTTCCACTTTTATATCTTGAACAATTATTTGGGGGGGGACAATATGTATACATCAACTAGTGATTTATTACTGTTTATTTCTTTTCTTTGAAAGTATGTACTATTTCTGCCCATTTTCTATTGTTTTATCTTTCTTTAAATAAAAATTTTTTAAAAAGAACTTACAAAAAAATTTTTAGATCTTTGTCCATTCTGACTTTCGTTTAATGCATGGTGATAGACATGAGTCTAGTTTTAGTCTTAAGCATATAAAGAGCCAGTTTTTCCAGCATCATTTATTAAAAAGGCTATCTTTCTTCCTGTGACCATGTTTGGTCCCTTTGTCAAAGATAAGGTGGCTGATTGTACTTGTAGTTCTGTCTTCATCTTCTAATCTGTTCCATTGGTCTTCAAGGCCTTTTGTTTTGTTTTGATTCTTGTTTTGCCACTAACATGCTGGTTTTATCACAATAGCTTTGTAGTATAATTTCAAATCAGGGGTTGTGGTGCCTCTTGCCTAGCATTTGTTGCCCAGGATTGTCTTTGTTATTCTAGGTCTCTTCTGCTTCCAGATGATTTTTAGTAATGTTTTCTCTAGTTCTATGAGGTGTGTTAATGGTATTTTGATTGGGATTACATTAAATCTGTATAACAGTTTTGGCAGTAAGGCCACTTTCACTATGTGGGTTCTTCCTATCCACAAGCAAGGGATAGCTTTCCATTTTCTGATATCTTCTTCAGTCTTCTTTTTCAAAGTACTGTAATTTTCAATATATAGATGTTTTACTTTCTTTGCTAGATTAATTCCTATTTATTTCATTGGGGAGGATGCTATTGTGAATGGTGTAGCTTCCCTAATTTCTCTCTAGGTTTGTTGTGTGTATACAGGGATACTATTGATTTTTGAGTGCTGTATCTGTCTATGCTACTGAATTTGATTATTAGGTCTAGAAGTCTTTTGATGATGTTTTTGGGGTCTTCTGTGTAGAGTCATGTCATCTGCAAATAATGATAGTTTAACTTCTTCCTTTCCTATCTTTAGTCCACTTTTTTCTCTCTCTTGCCTAATTGCTCTGGTTAATGTTTCCAGAACTATATTGAATAAGAGTGTTGATAGTGGGCATCCTTGTCTTGTTCCTGATTTTAGTGAAAGCTTTCAGTTTTTGTCCATTTAATATGATGTTGGTTGTGGGTTTGTCCTAGATGGCTCTTATCAGATTGAGGTAAAGACTTATCTCACTTTGGAAGGAGGCCAAGCTTTTAGGACAACCTAACCTTATTGCCTCTACTTTATAAAGAACTGCAGCCACATTCATAATAGCTATGTGCAGTGTTTTGAATGTGACATCCGTTGGAGGTGGGAAGGGGAGTGGGAAATGGGCTCACAAAGCTCAGTGTACTTGTTCAAGATTACAGGAGTCACAAGTGGTAAAGAAAAGACAGCAACTGTGGCTCCATTTGATTAAAAATCACTTATTCTTATCAGAGTGATATAACAGCAAGTTTAAAAGCTGCTAGTGTCTATCCAGAAATATAAATGCCCTAAAGGCTCCATAGCACAGCTGGCTT